TATTCAGATGCTGCTTTGGGGTCTTTTGTGTGATTCTAATTATTCTCCACTATCAGGACGGTCCACAGGGTAATTAGTCACTTCTCACCAAAGTCCTCCCTGCATCCTCAGATTCTTATCACCACAACTGTGACATTTTAAAAGAGACATTTTTGTCTCTTTTATGATAGCATTGAGTATTTTTTTCTTCCCCTCTTCATTCGTGTCCGCTTATTTTAAGCAATTTGGTGCCACAGTGCGCATAAATAGCCACTGCTTTTCGTAAATGCACCTGTTTTTTTCCCTATTTTTCCTCCGGTGGTGTCGAATTGGAGGCGACATTGTAGCCCGTGTTGGAGATCCCGTTTTGTGGACAAGCACAAACGTTCCTCCGTAACAATCAGAGCCATAATGCCGTGTATAGGAACAGTGTCCTGAAATCAACAGGCGCCGGGGAACAGGTGCTCCGGCCACCGCGAGAGGTCCATAGCAGAAGGGCATTTCAGCGTGGGCATGGTTCACAATGAATTGCAACACTTACACTTTGGTGGTGTTGGTGATGATGGGGGGACTGGTCACTTGGATGGATTCTAACAGTCTTTTTAACGGAAGAAACAAACTCTGTCGAATATTTTTTTCAGGCAAAAAAACAAAAACCTTGAAGGGGAATAAAAACAAGATGGAGACCTTGAAATATTTACACAATCAGACAGCATAAAAATATTTATTTATTTCTAATATACCCTTTGAAAACATTGCTTTCCCCCCCCCACACACACACTTTAAAAATATCCAGTCAAGTATAAATTGTTGCTTCAAGTCCAAATCTTTGCCTATGTTTGCTGATATTTAATTGCTGAAAATCGACTCTGCTGCTGATTGTTGCACAGCGGGACGCGATGACCCCGCCACCTCCACTACCAAGCATTTATTTTATTTCTGGTTCATGTGTTTCCTTCTGCTGTTTTCAGGAGAATTTTAATCTTAAAGCCTGTGCAGTGTGGACTAATAATGCCTTTGTTTAGTCTGTGATTAAACATGGCCACCTCGTACCTCTTAGTTGTAATTTAAAAGAAAACTTTTTTTTTTAAATGGCAAAATTGATTCCTTATTTTCAGATGCAGCATCAAAAACACTTCTAAAGCAATTTTACAGCATTTTTTTTTTTAACATATATGTGCTTTACTGCTTTACTGGATGCATCAAACCTCTATTCATATTAATGCACAGAATTCACCTGCTTGCTGCTACTACTACTGCACATTCACCCTATATAATGTTCTTCCTCTACCCCCCCCCCCCAATCCCTATTGCTCATTTGTGCCACCTGTAGGTTGTGACCTTCGGGGAGAGTGTGTGCCTCATAAAAGAACTGCAAGCATGAAGAATAATATCCAGTCAAATAGTGTGGTGGCTTTAAGGAAGCTGGTGAAACATGATTTATGCCCATTAAATAATTAAGAAAAATAGCACAGGGAGGAAGGAAACAGGAGACAGAATGGGGACAGGCAGCAATGGTCAGATCAGCAGATCTTGGTCCAGGCTGACAGCTGAATCAGTGATGACTTACCAAATTAAGATGAAGTGATAACAAAATAATCACGAGTGCATGTCTGTGCAGCGAGTCTGGCGTGTCATGTCTGTGTCCGTGTGCCTGCAAACATCAATTTATTTGTGTTTAACGCACTGCCTAGAAAGTGTTGATAATATGTGATTTTTAGTAGTTTTAGAAAGAGAGAAAGGAAAATGGAGAGTGGTGGTTGTGCCGGGGTGATGGGTGGGTGGGGTGGGGGTGTTTTCTAATCAGAGTCACTGTCGTTTTTGTTGTCACCTGCTCCCAGACAGACAAAGTGGCATTTCCTGACTGTTCCCATCCCCGTCTGAGTTATCTGACACCCAAAAATACGGCTATGGGGAAGCAGGGAGACGAGGCACCACAGCCTTATCCCGGTAAGGAGATGGCTTCTTATCAGATCAGGCTAGGAAGTTTATTTTATGGACTAAATCTGGATAGAGGGGATAAAGAAATGACACATCCCTTGCGGACACAAAGGGAGAAGGAGATTAGTCCTCCAGCAGCATATATGGCTTTAGTTCAACCTGACAGGCAGCGGATTGAAAGGTCATGAAATAATAATCCCCCTATTCTTCTGCTCTAATCCTACGAGGGTGTGTTTCACTATGGGAACGTATAGGCTGAGGCTATGTGCTGCAGGGTGGATGTTCATTTTATGTTGTCACTGTATTTAGATAGGCATCCAACACTGATTTAAATTAATTAGACTAATTATGATTGAAGTGGGGTTTTTATGATGGGTGTTACTGCCAACACGTCTGTGTCTGGCTTTTAGGCATTCCCCCCCCCCCCCCCTTCTGTTTTTGTAATTTATGGTTGTACATATGCTAGGGGTTGTTTTCTGCACGTTTGACTTTTTTATGAGACAGATTGAAGGTTAAAGGGACATTACAAGACTCTCCCATCACCAGAAGGCTTTCGCTTCTCCACCTCACAAACATTAAGCATCAGGTGTGATACTTCAGTCCACTGTGTATGTGTGTGTATGTCCAAGTATGTGCATTACAAAGAGGGAGAGATTATACGGTTTGAAAAGTGTGGTCCAGCCCAGTCGGTGTGTGTGTGTGTGTGGGGGGGGGCATTTCTTATGTGTTTAGAGAGTGGTGGGTATAGACGTGAAGGGAGAGGGTAGAGTCTGTCCAACAGCCTGATAATCAAGCATCGAAAATGAGAGAAATTCAGTGCAAACTAATGTGTTCCACACAATTACTCGATTAATAATTCTTATTCCATTATAGTGCCATGGAGACTCAGAGAGAGAGAATGAGGGAGACGGTGGGAGAGAGATTTTCTGAAACAGGGAAGGAGACGAGAGAGGGAGGCGGGAGGGAAAAGAAAGAGAGAGAGAGAGAGAGAGAGAGAGAGAGAGAGAGAGCACATCAGGCATGAGATCTGCAGTGGCTGTATATTTCCCAATGCCTAGTTAAGGCTGCAAGGCAGGGGTCAGGAAACTTAATTATAGCGTAAGTGGATAGAAACTGCAGAATGATAAAGAGAAACATGCAGACAGATTGGAATGGCAAGGACAGGTTTAATACTATCTTCTCCTGTCTGCTTCCCTCCCACAATACAAGCCAGACCTGCAATCACACAAGGAAACAGCCCATACACCCTGCCTGACAATAACACTAATGCATATCAAAATTACATACTCCACAACTGCAAGGCATTTTGCATGGCCACTATTACTTTCCAATTTTGTGAGTTCAAGAAAATACATATCCCATGTAATGGTGATATCAGAGGAGTGTATTTCCATGCTCTCTCTCTCTTTCTCACTCTCTCTCACTCTCTTGTGTGTGTGTGTGTGTGTGTGTGTGTCATGTCTTCTGATAAGCGTTCACCTGTGGTTGAACAAAAGTTATTAAAACATATCTACACTGACGGAGCAGCTGAATAAATAATCTGGCTTTTTTTTTTTTAATTTTCACTCCAACATTAATTCTTCATCTTCTCGTCTATTTATTTCCCTTAATATCTCAACGTGCAGATTTTTTTTCCCCCAGAAAGCCCATGTGTGTCTTGTAATTCCGCATGTCTTGATTTGGATTTCAAATCACTGGGGCTCAATGGGTGTCCCAATACGCCACTGTCCGTTGTGTGAGCTTCGCAATCTATTTGCACTGTATAAGATTTGCATATCTGCTGCTCATGAAGCAAGGCTTTAATTTCCTCCTGCTGGAGATAAACATCACCTTGTTGGAGCAGATGGGTGGAGGCAGGATGGGGTCAATGGAAGAAGAAGCAGGACAATGGCATTGGTTCAGGCACTGAACGGGCAGAAGTAATAAAATTGCACAATTTCCATACGATGTCCTTTTTTGGGGGGATAAATTAGGATCAAATGTGATATGAGGGGAAGCTGCAAAATTCAGTGGAGGAAAGAACATTTGGATACCTGCCTCTTGAGTACATACAAGACAAAATTTGCGAATGTCTGTGTATTCCTGTTTTGTAAACTATGTTTTAAAGTTATGGACATGTGATCCCCCTCCCCCAAAAAGGGCTTCAGACCATGATTTTTAACTGCAAATTTGTTATATTTCCAGTTAGCTTCCATATATATGATCATCATCATATACTTTGTCTCTGTCAATATCTATATTGAGTATAATTAATAATCTCCGCTGAACTAGTGTCTATTTCTTGCTACTGTTGGCGTATTGTACTGATCGCATTAGACGAGAGGTGCCACATTTCATGAATTAGAGTGTCAACTAAGCACCTTTCTTATGACAATATTGGACACAATGGAAATGATTAATTAGCCTCAAATAGATGGAATTTAATCAGTGCCTGAGCTGGAATTCAGTCCACATTTAAGGAGGTAAATTGGATGTAAGCTTGCACAAAGTGAACTTTTCATTTTTACTTTAACTTACATCATGTGCATTGTGGGAGGTCACACATTGTTCAGCAGCATTTGTATTAGAGGGGGGAGACCAGGATATAGCAAGAATAGTTTCTGAACAGTGAGCAGCTCGTGCGGGACTTCTGTAAACCACTAGTTATTTGGATGTGGAAACGTTGTAATTATAGTACTTCTACAGGGGATTGCTCTGCTTCTGCCTTGGGGGGAGGTGGGCAAGGCTGGGGGGTTACAATAGGTTAGAGGGGTGGGGTGTGTGTGAAGAATGGAACACTCCAGTCTTTTATTAGCTTGTGTTATCTAATATTTATTTATTTATCATAGACACCAATGCAAATCAGGAGTTATGGAGCCTGCTAATGACACCAACAAGAGTAATTAATTAAAAAGCAGAGGTGCGTGTGCCCGCACGCGCACACATTGCACATACGTGGACCCTCATGTAACAAGTTCATCTAATTTTCACAACACACAGTCAGATAAGATGACAAGAGGGAGGAAAAGGCAAGAAATCTGCATCACAGTGTTAATTTAATCAGACTTCAGTAATACCTCTTCTTTTCCCTCTCTCCCCAGGCAGCTCGCGGTTTCTCTGCTAGCTTGAGGAGAAGATGAAGGGAGCTTTCAGCCTCTTAGAAGATGAGGGTTAAAGAACGGAGAGATTAAGGAAGTGAGAGAGCGACTGAAAGGAGGACTGGGGATTATGTCATCTACAATTGATGTGCTCTCTTAATGTACCTTTAAACATGTGCCACTGGGGCCTGCTTTTATAATGTCTATTCACACATGTGAAGGGGTGGGACGGGGTGGGGTGGGGTGAGGGGGGTTGAAGTATTAACCCAAAAATACTTTGCAACAGATGTGTGGCTCATGTATTGATAGTAGTTATCAGGGTTTATGTCACTTTGATATGTATACAGCATGTGAGAAATCGTCTTTGTCAAAGGAAGTCCATTTCTGCTCAGTTTCCCATACACTGCCATGCATTGTACTGATCTCCATATCAAAAAGAGATCCTTTATCGAGTGATCATAAGGACAAAATGTGTCTTTATTCCGCGTCTTCTGCTCAAATGAAAATGTTCCTGCAATCTGGTCCAACTTGGACTATGAGCAAAGGATTTATTAAATTGATTCTCCTCTTCGCGCTCGAAGGAATTGTCTCTCAAATTGCTGCTTGTCTCAACAAAATGACAGCGGAGAGTGTCTGTGGAAGATCTACAGATCTTATCCATACAAATGTTATGGGGTTAAGTGTACTTGGAGGTGTGTGTGCGCGTATACTGTATCTGTGTGCACGTACGCTTGTCTCCGTGTCTGTAGTGTGTGCAATCATTCGATTAAATCCACAGCTATCACTAACGGGATTAGCTGAGTGGACAGCAGAAGTCTATCATTGCTTATTGATTTCTTCTGATTCCCATCAGCCCATCAGGGCAGGACATTCTGTGAGTGGCCCCAGTGGGAATCACTGCTACCGGCCGGGGTTAATGTATTGTAGCTAACATATCTGAGAAGGTTCAAAGCAGGCACCAATCTTTCTGTGTCAGGAAAAGTCGAATAAGTCAAAGCTATCAGGGGCAACAGATGCTTCTGTCTCTTCCTCTTCGGTGTAAAATATACTCTGACTCTATCTCAAGTGAACTACTTGGCGTCGAGTCGGATCAATTGAGTTTTAAGACAGCAGTGTTGAGCAACAGTAAACAGAAGGGGTGTTCTTTTCTTTCCTATGGCCATTTTTTGTGTGTGAAACGAAACAGTGAACGTATTGGCATTTTTTCATATCCTTGGCTAGATCTTTCCTGTTTAACCCTAAAGCGCGGGGTTAATTGAATGGTGAATTGCTTTGTGCTGTAGTCACGCTGAAGATTCCACAGCATTTGAAAACTTAAAAGACAAAATACAATAACCCGTACAGACCAGTCACAGCTATTTGTGGTCCCCAGGTGCATTCAGCTCGATTTTTTAATTAGGCTGCGTGTCACCTACAGTGCAGCCAGTGGCATACCCTAGGAATTATGGACATAGCTAAGATAGCTTTCTCTCTACAAAGAACAAGTAAAAATCAAACCTTAAAGAGTATATATATTTCTGCCTGCCTCCTTCCAGCCATCTTATTTTAAAGATCCAGCATAGAAATTGCAGTTCAAACAATTATGCAAAGGTTTTCTGATGCTATATAATTAACATGACTCTGCATGGCTGACTCTGCATCTTCCAGACCTGATGATACAGCTGGGCACATTGGATAAGTCTGTTGTAGGTCCAATAAAGAATAGGCTAAGCTGGGCTTTCTTTGCTTAGTTGTGATGACCTAATTAGCCTCGTATGGCCATTTTTAGTTTGAATTTTCACAATAACATTTTCATGGTATCTAATTATGTCCTCATGAGCATAATTAGATTCCCTGTTGAAAAGAGTGAGTCAGCCAAAAACATTTTTTTTACTAAGCACAGCAACTTCCATAACAGATCGGAGGCTTAATATGGATTTTAACTCTGAGGAGTGCAAATGTGTTTGATCAGCAAAATATAGATAAATATTTTGGCACAATATGTGCTTCTCAAAAAAAAAAAGTCTCTTGTATTGATAATACATTTAACCAATGAAAAGCTCTTGGTGTTCAGATGGCATTAGCAAATTAAATATAGCTTGTAAGGTTGAAAACAAGAGGCAAAAAGGTTACACAGGTTGTTTGTGCACAAGATTTCTCTTTTGCTTGTGACTGAAACTGTCTTGCTGAAACTAACAAGGCCTTCCCTGAAGATGCTGTCTGGACAGTACTATATGTTGTATCAAACACTGTGTATGTTTAGTCACTCATCTAGGACATCTTCACAGATGTGCGAGTTTCCTATACCATGTGCACTATTGCACACACTGGATTTTGCTGGATTTTGCACTGTTCTGAAAACAAGCAACACTCTCTCTCTCCTCTTCAGCCCAGAGGATCATGGCATCCATCATTTTCCTTTTTTTCAAACTCGCTCCAATCCTGGTCAAGAGAAGGCAGCTGTGGATTTTGCATTTTAGAGAATGTTTTATTTTCTTGTTTGCCCAGAAAGTTTCATTCTTGTTTTTTTTTTACCTAAAAATATTCAAATTTCTTTAATTCTTGTAAAATATAACGTGAGCTATAATGTGCCATGATATTTTAAAATGAGCATATATGTTACAAAAATAATAAAAATTTCTCAGTGAAGTATTTTATATGTTGCACTGAGTTTTTAATGATCTGCCCATGATTGCATTCTGTTTTTATTTACACTTTGCACAGCCTCTTTAAAGTTGTACACCTTTAAAGCTCAGTTTTTAATTACTTCCATTTTTCTCTGTCACAGATGACAGCACCGCTGTCTTCTTTCCTTGGGAGTAAGAGATGGAAAAAAATAGAGATGCTAACAGAAGATAATAATCTAGGGGAAGCTGACAGCAGTTCACCCTCAATGGTTCAGATGTCAAAGGCTAAAAGAGGGTCACAGAAATTAATAATAACGTTTGTGAAAAGACATGTTCAAGGTTTAAAGCTGTACCTCCGGATGCAGCTGTGACAGGACCATAAGAATTAGTCCAATTAAAAGTGGTAATTGCTTTGCTAATTTCTCCGATTAATTTCTCAGAGTATAGGAAAGAGTGGGAGCATAATTGGCGAAATGCTTTAACCCTTCAGTGTCTTAATTTCTTCCTTTACCTCCTCTTTACTGATGTCTGTGCTCTCTGCATAATAGCTCATCTGCGGTTCCCAACATTAAGTCATCACCTCTGATTTTTCTTGAGCTTCAAAAATATCAGAGTTATTAGCTTTTTTCTGAAACTTTTTTCTCTGAATGTTTTGTCACATAGCCTGTTGGTTTATAATAAATGGCAATTGCAGTCTAATAGTGGGATATACAGCAAGTAAATTCATTTATTCTTTATCATCACGGCAGACAATTAAAATGTAAGGCCCTTCATATTTTTTAAAAGAAAATAAAGAGCCATGAAGCTCTCGCTATTCTCAATTTTCCATCTTTCAAAATAGCAAAGGAGAAAAATTTATACATAATTGTGGGAATGTATTTGTGGGTGGTTGAGTGACATCTGAAAAAAACAAGGAGACATACCATCACCTACTATGGTGCACTAGTGAATGTGGCAGGTCATAGCCTTGTTGCTTTTAGTCTAATACAAGACATTTCACCCTGTTTCAAAGAGCTGATATAGCATCTGTTATGCATCACTAACAATGTAAGTTCTTTTTGAAAGGATTGACATCCGGGAGGCGTCATTGAAGTTGTGGCACATTCATGTCACATTGGAGTAATTTAATAATAATGAGTTTTAGATATGTAAATGGTGTTCACATTTCAAAATTCTTTTTGTGAAAGCTGTCGTAAATGCAATCTGAAAACCAAACAATCATATATGCAAAACCTGCAGTTCTTTCCCTGCAAAACACTGATGCTATGCAAGGTCCTTCATTGCATGAAGGATCTACGGTGGGGTCTACGGTGTGTGATAATTGAGACCATTGGTGGTGATGACACCTGAAAAGGTTTACAAAGCTCCAATTAAAGAGAAGTTATGTACCTTTTGATTTAATTATATTTATATAGTACAAAATAATAACAATAGTCTAGAGTTACTTTATATTAAAAAGTTAAAAACCCTGTACCATTATAGATAGAAACCCAATAAGAAAATGATAAAAGTTTATTTGAATCTATTTAAAGGAAACTTTTGTTTTGTGATGGTGTCTCATCTGCTGACAGTAGCCATTAGCTTAGTAGAAATACTAGCACATAGATTGGTCCTGCTGGTGGTATAATGGTGGGTCCAAGGATTGATACTGTGGATGCCATCCATTAATTTCCCTTCCGCTTATCCAATTCAGAAAGACAGCCAACCTTACCCTAATGTAACCCCTCCTAACCGCATGTCTTTGGACTGTGGGAGCTGTACACAGAGAGAGAACATGCAAACCCCTCATGTAAAACCCCGGGCGAATGGTGTGTTTGAACTAAGGACCTTCTTGCTGTGAGTGCTAACCATCTCAACACTGCACTTTTTAATTTTTTGGTTAAGTTCTATTCAGTTCAGATTCATATATACAGCGCCAAATCACAACATCCATTGCCTCGAGGGGCTTTATATTGTAAGGATGACCTCACAATAATACATACAGAGAAAACCCCAACAATCATATGACCCCCTATGAGTAAGCACTTTGCCAACAGTGGGAAGGAAAAAATCCCTTTTAACAGGAAGAAACCTCCAGCAGAACCAGGCTCAGGCAGTGGCGGCCATCTGCTGCGACCGGTTGGGGTTTCTCAATAATAAAAAAGGAAAAAAGGCTAAAGTTTGGCCACAACATGGCCCAATACTTATGCAATTGTGAAAGCATAAGTATTGGGCCATCAGTTTGTGTTGCAACTGCAACACAAACTGATGGATTTTTTTTGTCATTATCTATATAATCATATGATCCCCTATGAGCAAAGACTTTGGCCCGTACAGCAAGAGATAAAAAGATGACTTTAATATGTTACAGAGATTTCTGCCTCATGTGTAGCTGTTTCTAAATTATATGGCTCATGTTTTGCTAAATGAAGACACATGATCCAGTGTGTCTGTGCCTCATTAATAGTTTCTGGACAGCAATGGATTTTTATGGCACATGAATTGGATACATGTCTTAGATAGGCAGCCAATTTTTGTTGTTAGCAATATCAATCAGTTGACCGTAGGAAAGCTGTAAAAAAAATCATCAGTGTTACCCTTTAAGGA